CTAGTAGCTAACATACTTAACATTCATATTTCAATTAAATCTTTGCACAACATGAAGATATTACTAAAGCCACTTTAGAGTTGAAGTCACAGAGAAGTAACTTACTCTAAAGTAAGAAATACATACATTTAAACCTGTTTTAAAGATTTCAAAGTCTGTGCTCTTTGAAACTTATTAGAAATACTGTTAGCAATATAACTGTGAATATGATAAATATAAATTTATAATTATAAATTAAATCTTTGCACAACATGAAGATATTACTAAAGCCACTTTAGAGTTGAAGTCACAGAGAAGTAACTTACTCTAAAGTAAGAAATACATACATTTAAACCTGTTTTAAAGATTTCAAAGTCTGTGCTCTTTGAAACTTATTAGAAATACTGTTAGCAATATAACTGTGAATATGATAAATATAAATTTATAATTATAAATTATTTCTAAATTATTCAATTGCTATAATGAATAAATACTAATAGAAATGTATCTATGCATTTATACCAATGTCAACATACTACTATTGATATGTACACCCTCCCCGATGAAACAGTGAGGCATAAAATGGGGAGAAGATAAAATCAAATGTCAAAATGACATAATTCAGGATTCTAGCATAATCTATATGACGAACAATCTTCTAAACTTTAGTGGATTATTATATAACAAGACTTTCAAGGAAAAAACTGAAGCAAAAGGGGATGAATCATACCAATTAGAAAAAAAAAAAAAACTGAACTAATGTAAGCTCCATAGTAATTTTAAAGACAGGTTTTTTAAACACCAACAGCAAAATAGTCTCTCAATTAGTATTTCACTGACTTCGTAATTTCTATATAATATCAGAAGAGTGCTCGGAAGTTAAAGGTGAGTTCACACGTGTGTGAAATGAGATGAAAGGTTTTCAACAGGTATGTAGATATTAACTCAGTAATTACCTTTCTGTGTCTGGGCCATTTTTGGCTATAATCATCTTTAATTTTCCTAATCCTCCAACAGGTGCTCTGTCTGTGCCTGTTGTAAACTGCAAGAAGAGTCTTTTTTGCTCATCTGTAAATGAATGAACAATTTCCCAGAACTCCCTAGTGAGAAAAGAAAAAATATTGGCTTTAATTTGATATTCATTGTAAATAATACTAATACAAGATCATGGTATTTAAACATTATTATAGTAACATTTAAGATTCATATTAAGGACTTCAACATTTCAGGAGTATATTTTCTTTACCATTCTTGCATTATAGTCCTGTTTACTCATACCTTATTCAATAACAATAGTAGAAAATCATAATTTTTATATGAACTACAACAGTTTCTCTATCAAGCAGTCTTTGTGAATATAGAGAGAAGTATGCTGATATACCATATAGTTATTACAAAATATCTGGCTTCCAAAAGTCTATGTAATAAGTGTTATGATATATTACTTATGCTATTCTGAGTTCTAAGAATCAAAAATGCAAGCTCATAAATAGCAATGTTGGCATGCATATTTTTATTAGCAATTTCTAAAGCTAATATAACATTAATTCACAGGTAAGAAAATTAAGACTTTAAGAGAAAAAGTACTTTTAACTGGTAACAGAATGCATTTGGATATTTATTTTAAAGTTCTTTCCCCAAAACTCTCAAGAGAGGGCTGGCAAGATGGCTAAAGAGACTTGCTAGAAAGCCTGATAACCTGAGTTCAATCTCAGGGACCCAAAGGGAACCTACTCCTTTAAGATATCCTCTGACCACCACACTCTCACCATAGATGCACATTCATACATACACTAATGCACACCCACACACAAATAAATGAATGTAACAAAAAAATTTGAAGCTCAAGGAGGAGTGTATTTCCCAAGTCAATAATTAGGATTCTGTTCTTTGACATTCAAGTACACTTTTTTTTTATTATCTAAATCTTGGCATTTTTATTGCTGTAATACCATTATTCTCACATAGAGCACATTGTTTACAAAATTTCAATTTCCAAAAGCTTTATCTAATTTCCTGGCTTCCACTAATCTCTTGCCACTGTTATAGCCTATCCTCCCTTCAGTTCCAGCAAAAGTACTATCCACTTACAGGAAATAATAAAGGTATACACAGCAAGAGGAAACTGGACAAGGAACTTGTGTAATCTCTCAATTAGAAGAACCACTGATTAGCCTTCCTTTTCCAGGGGGTTAGCAAGAGAAAACAAGTCTGCTGCAGCACTGAAACCCCTGCCTAGACACAAAAGCTATGCTGAACTGAGGAGCTAATTGGTGACTGAAGGTTGCTGGGGAGGGGCTCAGTTTCTGGAAGTAAAGAGTATGGTTTCGTCCATGGTGTGGGGGTCCCAGGTACGCTGACCATGCTCCAACACATGGCTTCCTTCACACTCAACCACATTTGGGTAGTACTAATTTTAGACTCGGTGGGTTACCAGACATACTCAAAAAGGACATATGAAATTGGGATAAGGATATGTGAGGAGCGGAATCTGGTAGGAGTTGGGAGACTGGAGAGTGTGAGGGGTGCCTATGATCAAAGTACATTATACATGCATGAAATTCTTACAGAGCAAAGTTAAAAATTTGTCAAAACTATACAGAGGTAGGTGGTTAAAGCAGGATTCTCACACTGTAGGAAGGTTCTGAAGTGTGACCAAACCAGTCACTAAAGATGTCAGAACTACAGGCATCAGTGAGTGCTATGAAGGAAATGGCAGACAGACATCTCATGGTCACAGTGATGAGCTTTGGCTATATTATTAAAAGCCTATTTCTGCGGTTTAGTTTTTGAAATGAGGAAAAATAAAAACCTAAGACTACCATAAATTCTACATAGTGAAAATAACTGCTGAACAAATTCTCTTCCCCCAGTGCTACTACTTTTTACACTAAAATATTTACTTAACACACACACACACACACACAGAGCTCAGAGGAAAATAAAGTACATGAATTATATCCTCTTCACACTTTGAAATTTATCCAGATCAAAACAGGAGAAAATGAAATAAAAACATCAATTCTAAAAAGTTACATAGGTGGAAAAGCAATACCCAAGATCAAAAGATATAGCGACCAGAACAGGAACAGAAACAACAGACTCGGAAAGAGAAGCAAAGTCTTCCCTTGAAAGTAGTTTATGGTCACAAACGGTAGGAAGTGGCTGGTAAAAGGGGACTTTGATTAAAGAAGGGAACTGAAGAATCAGAAGATACCGAGTCACATAAAGCAGAATGCCATGTCAAAGAACTACATACTGTAGAGGGAGCCCTTCAACATAGACACCACTTAAAGTCACTAGAACTATTCTTTGCTCCCATATAGAAGAAAAGCAAATGAGGGCTGGAGAGATGGCTCAGCAGTTAAGAGCATTAGTTGCTCTTGCAGAGGACCTGGGCTCGATTCCCAGCACCCATAAGGTGGCTAACAACTATCCATAACTCGAGTTCTAGAGGAATCTGATGCCCTCTTCTGACCTCCATGGGCATTACATGACACAGGTGCAATTACATACATGCGGGCAATACACTCATACACAAGATACAAATAAAACATTAAAAATTATAAAAAAAAGAAAATCAAATGAGAAAAATCTAATTTCAAGTTCAAATATAGACAATATCAAGAGTCCTGCAAGTGAAAAGCAAAGCTTTCTGGCATATGAAAGTGCTGGAAGAAAACTCAGTCATGAATATAAAACCTATAGCACTACATTCCAAACAGAAAAGAAAATGTAACCAGACAGTAAAGAACACCATGGATCAGGAGAAAAAAGAGAAAGAGATGAATAAAGTGGAGGAAAAATGATAGTACTTGAAAATACTGAAGAATTATGCATAAGAACTCCGAAAATAAAAACTTTTTTACAAGATGAGCAAAGGAGGAAAATTAGTCAAAACTTCTACCTGATGATGCAGTCTAGAAACAAAAAGCAAGAAAATGAATTAAATAACCAAACAAGAAATACATACCAAAGTAAAATAATGGAAAAGCTCTTAACCATACTGATCTTTTCACTTGGGAAAAAACCTAAAAATTGAAAGGACAAATGACAACACAGGGAAGTATTTGTAAATTAGTCATAAGGAACAGTGTCTCTAACATATGATGAAAATGAAAGAAAAGGGGAGAAGGGAAGGCAGGCAAGGACATTCTTAAAATTCTAGCACTTAGGAGGTCCAGGTAAAAAGATGGAAAGTTCTAGGCTAGCCTAGACTATAAGAGAAAAGACATTGTCTCAAAAACAGAAATGGGATAGGGGAAAGGGAAAATGGAAAAAGCTAACTGAATAGCGAAACAAGCAAAAGACATAAAAAATACAATTATTTAATAGGTTTGTAAATATTAAAAACTATTCTGCATCCATATGATAATTTGCCTCCTCCACATTTTTAAGGGATTACTTCTGAGATATACTTTAAAAAAGTTCTAGTTTTGAATTATGTGAACCTAAAAATTTATAGCCAATTTTGAAAAAGATGCATCTTTTCTCTGGAAACTGTTACTACGTCAATGCTGTTGTAATGAAATTCCTCTACTAATTATGTGGTTATTAAATAAATATTTTAAAAATCTCTAGTTTTGTTCCTTGACAAGGCCTGTTAAGTAGCAAAATTCAATAGCAAATGTTATGTTTGTACCACAAATCTGTCTACCAAATGTCTTTTCCTAATAATTTTTTATAAAAATGTTTTATTCCAGAAGAATTTCAGTCAAAATTTAAAATTTAATAGACTAGTATGTCATAAAAACACATTAAGACCCCAAATGATAGGTGCTGGGAGGGGAGAGTCAGTCTACTTTGAGGGTGTGACAATGGGTAGGGTATGTGGTGCTAGTCAATGTACCCACACTGAAGGACAGTTGGAGACACAAGTTTCACTTGATAGGCCTTAAAATATACATATTCATAGTGCATCAACTTGGGTAGAAGGTGGTTAAGGGAAATATGTCTAAACATGATCCAAATCTATTATTATGAAATTTGCAAAACTTCAATTTAAAAAAACATTTTAATGTTGAAATAACAATAATAAAACACATTAAGGTCAAGCAATTTTAGTATCACTTACATTAGTGCAAAAACACTATTTTACACTTAAAAATCCCAAAATTAACTTGAAGGATGTAAGCAAAAAATCAGTACCACTATTTAAATTACATTTCTTATTTTAATAAACTTAAATGCATTTTGCCTTTTCAATACAATAGTTTCTTAAGGTAGTGAAAGAGCATGTGCTAATGAGAAAGAGATGGCAAAATGGGAGAGTAGCATACACTGGGACAACAGATTAAAAAGTTGTTTCCTTAAAGCACCATTTTTGTAATCTTCAATGGAACAAGTGGATTAAGAAAAGATAGATGATAAAAACACATGAAAGATAAGGGTCTAGAAATGAAGTTATTTTCATTTTGATTTTTTTTTGTTCCTCAGTTTCCTCCATAAACAGAGCAAACTGGCAAAATCCAAAGACCCACAATACAACTGGGCAATGGTGCATCCTCCATGAATCCTTGCATATAAGAGTCAGTAGCAAAATAATGACATAAAAAAATGGATGTTATCAGCATCTGTGAATGAGGAAGCAGAAAGGAAATTAATTGGTTTCTTATATCTCTGAGAACAAGAGAACTTCAAAATGGACACCCCAAAGAGAAGCACAGGCCAATTTGAGAACAGCAGTTGAAAGTTGGCAAATTCTACAGTATCAAATTTCCAGACAGAGCCATTAAAACTCATTAACAATGAAAGTCCCTTTTCAAAACAAAACCTAAACTACGGAGGGCTGGCCTATTATTGGGAATAATATCCAAATGTACCAGATCAAGAAGAATGATAAAGTTCAAATACATACCAGGTATGAGAGTAAATGAAAGAATTTCAGAAAGCATAGGCTACTAACACTATAAAAACAAACAGGTTCAGAGGGAAACAGGAAAGATCTTAGTCTATTCCTGACTTTTGCAAATAAGGCAAACACATTTCACTAAAAAAGAAAATGAGAAAGGAGCCTGAGAACTAGTCAGCAAGTAGTTCCTTCCATGGTTCCTTGAGTAGCTGCCATGACTTCCCTCAATAATTGTGAGTTGGATGGAAA